GCAGCAGTCTATTGAGGAGTGTCTAGCTGACAGAATGGCAAGCTACCCAGTGGCTTCGAGGACATTCTGTTTTCTTCCAGTCTGATATAGCGCCAAAGGTACCGACAGACAAGCGTTCTCGATTCAGTCTCGGCGTCAATTAGCTGCATGACTTCAGACAGGTGGTTGTCCTTTCTGCTTCAGCTACCTCACCTGCAAACTGAGAATGAGAAGACCTGCCCCACTACTGGAGAGAATGATTATATGGATTGGATGAAACTTTATTGATAATAAGGTACTGTTAAGTCATTATGTCTTAGGGACCTCCCAAGGCCGTTTAGCTTGGTGAGTGAGGAGAGAACATTCAGGGATCAGGGTGATGGAGTAACCAACGCGGGGAATGCCCCATCGTGTCTTGGAAACCTCATCCCATGAACAGATGGCTCTCAAAAAAGCAGGGTTGGGGGACTGGGAGACGTTCTGCGGAGGTTCCACTGAGGCACGTCAACCGAGTTGCGGTTCTCCGGACCAGTGCTTTTCCTACACGCTTCAGAGCTGCCCAGCCACTTCGGTGACATCATCCATCTGGCATGTAATCTTAGTTGAATTCCATGTATCTCTTGCTCACCAGATTCCTAAATTGTGAGAATATGGATACATTGACGGGCTTGTCTGCCTGCCCGCCTGACCTTTCGGTTTTCTCTGTGGCTGCTTCAGCCCCTATCCCCTTGTGCCATCCTGCCCCCCCCCCCCCGCCGCCTTGCCTCCTCCACTCCCACCATCTCAGAGCAGAAGCTTTCTCATCTTACTGGCTGTCGGAAACTCGGTTTCCTCAGCAGTTGGTTTTCCTGTCGTCCCCCTGTAAAAGTGTTCCCATCACGCTTGGATTGCTTACAGCGCTGATGCTTTCCAAACAAGTGGAGTGAAAGCTAAAGACACAAATTCCAGTTCTGCTTCTTTACCCTCTGGGGCAGAGGCTGTCCACTTTCTCTAGGTAGTTTGGGGCAGGGAAATGCGGTTCTCTGGGTCTCCCAATCTTGACTCCTTCCCTCCCATCTCCCAGGTTGCTACCAGAATGATCTTTCTAAATGGAAATGTTACTTACTTGCTCAAAACTTGATGACTCCCCTCTGCCCATCCAGATTCCCTGGGCCCCTGGGCACACTGATGGCTTTGTTTTGGCCCAGCACCATGTTGGCCTCCACGAATTAAATTAGTAAGAACATTAAAGATTGGAAGATGTCTTATAAAATCCACAATTTGAGTTTCTCTTGGAAGGTTGTTAGATGGCAATGCTGGGCACCAGGAACTGGGCAGGGCTGCCTCTTAGCCACAGCAGGCTTCTCCAGATGGCACACCTACTGCTACGGCCTCGTCACTCCCTTACGTTACCTAGAACCTCCCTAGGTGTTTGCTCCCCCCATTACAGGATCAAGTTCAACTTGAGTTAAAATCAACTTTTTACCAGGTATATGGATGGGATCCATACCAATTAGGCCCCAACTACATCTGCCCCCAACTCCTGCCCCATCCCTACAGGCTTCTCTAGAATAGCTTTGCTATGAAGTGGTTAGTTGTTTGCCTGTTTGAGTTTGCTCACCCTTTCATTCTATTTTATTTTGTTATTTTTTTAACTGAAGAGACCCATCTTGCAGATCCCTCTGGAGCACCCATTACAGGCAAGGGTGTGCCTGGCTTGGCCACACCACAATTATGGGGTATTTCAAGGGAGTTACATTTCAAATTTTCATGACGTATTGATCCAAAGCTTCTGTGAAGGGCAAGAAGCAGAGGAGGGAAGAGAACAGATGGGGCCCTTTCTGTGCTTTCGGTCATTTCCAAAACAAATACATTTCATTTGGCTACGTGGTCATGTGTTTGCAGACATTCTGCTCTGTGATGCTGAGGACATAGCAAAATGGTTTACCTTGGTTAGGATATCTGTTTTCAAACATTGCCCATTCTTTCCCAAAATTACAGGAAAATTGATATATCAGCCTCGTTACTTGAACTTCTAGGCAATAAAATAAATTCAAGCTATTGAGTAATTACTTCCTTTATTGTTGTTCACATTAAGTCCAGGAGCTTGCCGAGGAGTGATGTTCAGAAACCTGGGCACTTGCTTCTCCAGTTTCAAGAAATTGTTGTATAGGTCAGGTTTTATCTTACTGGGGCCATTACTTACTCCAGGTTCCACACTGTGCTGGTTCCCAAACTTGATTCCCCCAGGAGGAGTCAGGCTTTAGGAATTTATGTCATCCTAGCCAAACTCATAAGATCTATTACTAAACTAGAATATTCCTTTTCTTTTCATTTACTGAACACCTACTAAGTGTGTAGCCCTGTCCTAATGTCTGGAGAAACAAAAATAAATCACAAATATGATGTGGTCCCTACCATTTAGAAGCTTATGGTATAGAAGTGGGACAGATATGTAAGCAAATACATTATATATCATGTGCTACGGGTAGGGTGACCTTATATCTTGGGGACATCCTGGTTTATACCTGCTGTCTGGTATAACTATTAATAGTTCCGCCTTTCAAACCATCTAAGGGCCACAGTAAAGGTTTCTGTTAACGTTTGGGGTATAGAGTTGGTAGATGGGGGAGAAATCAGCCTGTTTTTCCAGAGTAGACTCTTGAGCTGGGTGATGAAGGAAGTTTGGGCAGTCAAGGTCTGGGAGCTCAATGTGTAAGGGGGAGGGGAACGTGCAAAACTCTGCAGACAAAACGGAGATTGTTCCGGAAGCAGCAATTAGTCAGTCCAAGCTAGTCATTGTTTCCCAAATTTATCCTGTGAAAAAAATTCCCCAAGATACTTGGTAAAAATACAGATTTCCAGGTCCTGCTGGTAATCTGGATTAGTATTTTTAAAGAAGCATCCCAGATAATTCTGGGACATATTGAAAGTTCAGAACCAATTCTCTACTGATTATGGCAAGGAATACAAAAGGCTGGGAGTAAAGAGGAGCAGGAACAGCAAGACTAGAGCGCAAGTCACCTGTTAGTCAGGTGGGGTGACCCCAGGTGGGAAAACCCTCAGAGGTAGAACTAGTTGGAAGCCATTTACAGTAGACCTGTGAAAAATGGACAGTGTGGGAACTATATGTCAGCTTCAGTGGGGATGAAGAGGAATGAAAAGATTAAGAGAACTACTCAGGAGGAAGAATGAACAGGACCTAGGATATGCCAGTTACTGATTTACATAGGTAATATTTCCAGGCAACAAAAAATTTGTGTGAAATCCAGGAACCTAAGGGACCTTACAACCTCAAGTTTTAAATGGTGAGCCATAAACCTAAAAATACAAAGAATTGGATAACGTTGTGATGTATTTCATGTGGACGTTAAAAAAAAAAAAAAAATGACTCCTGCTTACTTCCCCTTGTTGTAATCTCCAGAACAGTCATGACAGTTGTGTTTATCTCTGGAAAGGAGCTGGATGAATTCTAAAGCATCCTGACACACCCAACCCTTTTATCTAGACTTCAGGCAAACCTCTGCCCTTCTGTTAGGGAAAGACTACTTGCCATGCCTTATCTTGCCTTATTTTTGCTTCTGTTTTTGTTATCGAATGTGTGAGACAGTCATGACTCCTCAGCAGTACCAACCCCTTTCAGGGCAGATGGTCGGCCTGGTGCAGTTTCAGCATGACTTTGTTCCTAAATTCTGGAGCTGCCCTTTCTGTAAGAACCTGAAGTCACCTCACAGATTTCACCGCAACTCTGGGAAATTACAATAGGACGAGAAGCGCCCTATCCAGGCAAGGAGATCGTGAAGCCTGGTGTTTGTGGTTTGTGGCAGCCGGCTTCCTTGGTGCATTGGAAATTGAGGCGAGCAATCCCTATATGGAAAATGAAGAAAATCCGAGGAGAGCTCTGCTATTTTCCTCTGCCTTCCAACATAAAGAGGGTTTTTATTTTGAAGGCTGCCTTCACCAGGCCTGTTGGCATACTTCTGAAGCAGCAAACGAAGTCAGAAAGCAGAGACTTAGAAGTTACGAAGAGAAAGCCTCAAAAAAGGAGAATGGGAAACCGATCAGGCTATAATTTCACAGGGTAATTTGGCACCGTTTACCAGAGACCTGGCCCCAGAGTGTCCACGAGTGCGGTTTGGGGAGGGACAAACCATCTACAGTTCCAGTGCTTGGCTACTCTTGTAGCGTTGCTGAGGAATTTCCAAATCCTGGGAGTGACAGGGTCGGAGGTGAACAGGCGGAAATCTTACACGCTGTCAATGTCAGGGAGGGGGAGAAACATCAGGCAACAGCGACCTCAAAGTTTGTGGGGTTTTTTTTTTTAAATAAGAGGCTTCACTTCTGTGCGGTCCAATGTCACAACGCCATTAAGTCACAGTAGCAAAATGAGAAAATAAGGAAAGGAGGAAATGTCCAGCGTGCACGGACCCAGAAAATGGATCTTCCCTGCTCCTGCCGCTGACGGAGCAACTGTTGGGGGGCGCCTGGGTGCTCTGCCCGCCGGAGTCGCAGCGGGGCAGCCCCCTTCCCGCAGTCCGGGCGCGACCAGAGTGGCGCCGCGGCGGGGGGATCGGGCAGGCGCGCCGAGGACTTCAAAGGCCCGGCGCTGTCGCCGCCCCCGCCTGCGCTCGCGAATAGTACGGTCCAAGGGGGCGGCTCCTGGGGCGCGGCTCCCGCGGCAGCTGATGTGCGCCCCGCCGGCCGGGAGGCGGGAGCCAGAGACCCCGGGACCTGAGCCGCCCGGCGCCGCGGGCCGGGGCCCTGAGGAGGCCCCAGGAGAGGCATCTTCCCGGCGGGAGTCGCCGGCGCGGGGGTGGCCGCGGCCGCACCGTTCGGAAAGGAGGACGAGGAGGAAGCGGCGCTGCCTGCCGGCCGAGAGGAAGCGCTCCACCCGGGCCCCCGACGGCGCTCGTTTAACCACATCCGCGCCTCCGCTGGAAACGCTTACAGGCGCCTGTCACCCGTTCCCTCCATTTTGAAAGGGAAAAAAGGCTCTCCCCCTTCCCCTACTCTTAGGACCTGGAGCCGGAGGAGCCGCGCTCATGGCGTTCAGCCCTTGGCAGATCCTGTCCCCAGTGCAGTGGGCGAAATGGACCTGGTCCGCGGTGCGCGGCGGGGGCGCCGGAGAGGACGAGGCCGGAGGGCCAGAGGGCGACCCCGAGGAGGAGGACTCGCAAGCCGAGACCAAATCCTTGAGTTTCAGGCAAGTACACGCATCCCTGCCGAGATGCAGACGTGCTGCCATCCATCCATCTGCGGCTCATTCTGTGTGCGTGTGTGTGGTCGCTCACCCGCGTAACCATTATCATCGCAATGCCTGCGTCCCTACCCGAAACCGGGTCCCCGCTGTGCATTCGAAAGTTCAGGATGTTCTGTCTGGTATTACCTTCCCCCCGTTTAGTATGAGCTTTCAGAACCTAACCCAGAATCTGCAGTCTTTCCGCATCCCGGTCTGCTTCAGTCACTTTCCCTTAAGCTTCGAGCCCCCAGCCCCCGCCCCTACACACACACAGTGTCATTGATCACACCCGGTAGAACTTGGGGCCCTCCCTGTGGGGGAAGAAGTCGCTCCCAGGCCCTCCTGGTGTCCCTCTGTGTCCCAAAAATGCAGCCTTGGTAAAGAAGGTCGCGTGATGACACGCCCCTGGCAGCTGGTGAGAAATGGTGGTCTTTGCTGAGCTGTCACCGAGTGATTGAGGAAGGCAGGTGACAGTATTCTCAGCTTGGGGCCGAGTGAGTTCCAAACAGGTAGAGGCCTGCCTAAGAAAAAGGCATCATGGCGAAAGCTGACTTAATTTTTAGGAGGAGGGGCAATCTTAATTTTTAAGCCTATGAAAAAGGGTTCTTGTTAGAAAAGGAGTCTGTTGAAAAGCGCTTTTGGGGGGATATCAGAAGAAAGGATGACCTCAAAAACAAATGGTGCTGGAGAAAAGCTCCGGAGGATAGAGGAATATCAGGGAGACAGGATGCCAGGCAGGAGGCCGAGGAGGGCCCAGCGAGAAAACCCCATGATGAGCTCCCACAGGCCAGTCCCTGCTGAGGACTAGTGAGTTGTAAAGTTAGGCAAAAATACTGGACTTTAGCCTTTGTCGATATATAGACTGTAAAAGGTGTCGGAAGTACCGTTGAAAGTGGTAATTCCTCATTTTTCCCCCTTGGCAGCTCGGATTCTGAAGGTAATTTTGAGACCCCTGAAGCTGAAACACCAATCAGATCGCCTCTCAAGGAATCCTGTGATTCATCCGTAGGATTGGCAGGACGGGGGGCCAAAACCCAAGGTAAAGAAAGACTTTCATTTTCTGCCTCTTTTGTTTTAAAGTTTTGAAAATGTAAATGAGGGAAGGAAGAGTGTTAACTTAGAGCCATTTAAAAAGCTTTGAATTGAGTACTTACCAAGAAAGGAGCTGTTTTAAAGCTCCTGGCTTATTTGAACTGTTTTTGTTTGTTTTATAGCAATGTGGCGGTCAGAGGCTTTCTTCCTAAGTAGTTTGTACATTTGCAGGATGAGATTATCAAACATTCCTGCTGGGCCCTTCCCCTCAGCCCCCCAAAAACAAAAATGTGTGTGGTAATGCAGAGGTAGAGGGAGGTATGTTTAAATTTGGCTTTGGATAGCTCTCAGGCTAAGTCACTTTCTCCAGGGGTGTGTGTAGCTGAAGACAAAATTATAGGTAAGAGTTGATTATTTAGATAGGAAGGAATCTTAAGCTGTTTTAAAATTGTTTACCTCTCCCCTCATCTACATAGGAATGGTGGTGAGCTTCACAGTCTACCTAAGAAAACCTGGCACAGAAAAAAAACCTAGCCCCCCTCAGAGCTCAACCTTGAGCCTGCCCTTCATCTACAAAAGCTTATGTTGTTTTCGTTTAATTAGTAGAAACCTTTTTTGTCACACAGCCAGTTTTGAGTAAAATTTCACCTGTCCTGGTAGAATCTGTTTATCCACGCAATAGAGTGCGCTCTGATTCAGCAGTGAAAAAGTCTTGCTCTCACTGAGCTAACATTATGGAGGGAGAGGGATCTTTTAAAGGTTAAGCAAGATACATACGTCAGCTTGTCTTACGTATTATGGAGAAAAATAAAGCCGTGGAAGGAGGAGTAGAGTGTGTGGGGTGGGGATAAGAGATGCTGAAGGGTCATTAGGCGGAGCGTTGCCTATAAGGGAACTTGAGCAGAGCCCTGAGGGAAGATTGAGGGAACAGCCTTGCAGATTGCTGGGGAGGGAACCCTTTCAGCAGAGTGAATGGTTATCTGCAAAGGCCTGAAGCAGGACCAGCCTGGGATGGAGTGAGGCCCTGCGGTGGGAGGGTTTTGAGGACCAGTGAAGAGGCCAGGGTGACTTGAGTGGAGGGACTAGGGAGGGAACAGTAGGAGCTGAAGTTAGCCAGGTATAGGGAAGTCTGGAACATTTTGTTAATGGTTTAAAATGACAGAAATGTATTCTCTCACAGATTTGGAGGCTAGAAGTCCGAAATCAAGGTGTCAGCAGAGCCATAGAGCCATGTTCCCTCCAAAGCTTCTAGGGAACAATCCTTTCTTGTCTTCTCTAGCTTCTGGTGGTTGCTAGTAATTCTTGGTGTTCCTTGGCTTGTGGCAGCATAACTTCAGTCTCTGCCTCCTTTATTACATGACAGGCTGCTCCCTGTGTGTCTCTGTGCCTTCACATGACAGTCTTTTAAGAACGCCAGTCAGTGGGGGGCGCCTGGGTGGCTCAGTCGGTTAAGCGACTGCCTTCGGCTCAGGTCATGATCCCGGAGTCCCGGGATCGAGTCCCGCATCGGGCTCCGTGCTCCGCGGGGAGTCTGCTTCTCCCTCTGACCCTCCCCCCTCTCATGCTCTCTCTCTCTCATTCTCTCTCTCAAATAAATAAATAAATAAATAAATAAATAAACTCTTAAAAAAAAAAAAGAACACCAGTCAGTGGGTATAGGGACCCTTCTAATCCGGTATGATCTCATCTTAACTTGATTACATATGCAAAGATACTATTTCCAAATAAGGTCACATTCACAGGTATGGGGAGTTAGGAATTCAACATACCTTTTTTTTTTTTTTTTTTTTAAGAGAGAGCGTGCTAGAGGGGGGAAGGGGCAGAGAGAGGAGAGAGAGAATCTTAAGCAGGCTCCACGCCCAGCACAGAGCCCCACACACAGGGCTTTCTCTTGCTACCCTGAGATTATGACCTGAGCTGAAATCAAAACACTTAACCAACTGAGCCACCCAGGCGCCTCTCAGCATATCTTTTTGAGGGACACAGTTTAACCCACAACAGAGGGCTTTGAGCAGAGCCATCGTGCTTTGAAGTCCTTTATCGAAGGCTACCTGGCTGCTGTCTGGAGAAGGGACTCTTTAGCATGGATGTCCTTTTTGAGTGCTTTCTCTTTTCCAGTGTCTGTCACTGTCACCCTGTGATGGCGGATAGAGCCAGCTTTCAGTTATCCTGTTAACTAGTTTTTGACCTGATGATAACTTTTTTCTACTAACAGTTACCGTATTTTATGGCTTTGTAACTTCCTCACAGGTTGCTTGGGGAAGTCAGGTGCTCTGTGGTAGACTTCATGAGGGAGCTGGAATTACTGTTGAAATGATTCCAGCTTTTTGAGATTTGATTTTGCTTTGAATTGGGAGCTTCATACTGCGCTTCCCCTGCTGAGAATTCGGCCATATTCCCAACTCACCCTGGGTTGCTTTTCACCATTGTTTTTGGAAGAGACCTGCATGGGTTGAACAGGCACGTTATGTATCCAAGCGCTCGGTGTGTGGCGCTTAGTTTCTTTACAGCTCGGAGGATAAGATGCACTTGTGCTTCGTAGTTTCCCTTTTCCTCTCTTAAGATTGGCAGATTAGAAAGGAGATTTGAAACCTGGGAAGAATTATTTTGAAGCTTTCCCATCAAATTTAAATAATGCTCACCAGACATGTTAAGTAGCTACTTGAAAGTCTCTTTGAATTGCCATCAGCTTGGGCAGCCCCTTCCTCACCATTCCATCAATTGGTAGTCTGATTCATCTTGACAAATTCTTTGCTAATTGCATAGAGGCCTGTATGGCTGGGGCCCCCAGAGCCATAGAGACCCAATCGTTTGGTCCTTCCTGTGCCACTGACTCTTTTTTACATGTTTTGGTAACTTCTAGCTCACACTCTTTTTCTCACTCTCCCTAAAAGGTTTCTTTTAGAGTCACGGACCAGGGAAGCTCTGTGGAGTAGATCATGATTGAAGGCCATGTCTTTGGCAGGGGATGGGGGTGAGGGTGTACAATCTGGGAAATTACCACTCTGTATTAAGAAATCTTTCAATTTAGGGTCTTTAATAAGATGATTGCATATCAGCCTGGTAGTATCCTGCCTTTGAGAACTCCTTCTGCCCAACATGTATAAGGAGACTCTGTTAGTCCAGAGTCTTGTTGATGGCCTTGTTACACATACACAGTATGTATTTAGTACCAGAGCACAGGTCTGATCCGGAAAGGTATCAGTGGACAAAAATTCCTAGAGACTCATTTCATGTGGAAGTCTTTTAATTTCTGGGCTTGGATGGTCCTCTTTCTGCTGGAATTGTTGATCATTTGGTTCCTGATAAAGTTAGTCTTTCATATTTCTGTGGTTTCAGGATGTGGTGGGGCAGCAGGTAGAGATTATATAAGACTATATCGTCTGGAGGGATGATTTATGAGTTGTTAGTCAGGGGTTGGAGTTAACATATGTAAAAGATCCTGGCTTCCTGGTAAATAATGGCCCTCCAATGTATGGGCTGTATCCCATATCTCATACCCATGGCCCCCACCCCAAACTCCATCTAATTCTTTGAACACAGGGAAACATTTGAAGTTAATTGAAGTTAATTTTCCATGTCTATTTAAAGTTAATTTTCTTTTTATTGGAAGTTTTTTGGGGGAACTTACAGTATCTGAACTCTGTAATAATGCTTCTTTGAGACAGTTATATGCCATTCTAGGAATTAAACGGTAGATGAGGTTGTGGGGATTTTTTTAAGCCACAGGTGTCAGACTAACTGCTAAAATAAAACTTGAGCCACAGAGGTTCCTTGAAAATACCAGAGTAGTGGCTGTAATATTTGGGCTGGTAATTCTGTGTTTTCTGTCTGCCTCCCTCAACAAAGAGTGTTTAAGCTCCTGCTGTTAACTGTTCTTTCTCTTTACTGGGGGATGATCAGTGAGGAGACATCACCAATCAGAGGACTTTTGAAGAAGGTGTGATCTCAAGTTCATCCTTTTTTTTTTTTTTTGGGTGGCCTGTGCATTGTTTTAGACTTTAAAAGTGAATGTCCTCTGCTACTAGAAACCTCCTTACCACACACATATCTTCATTTAATTCTTGCTGAAGCTCTCATACGCCCTTGGAACAACTCGTGAAATCTACGCTGTTTGATGTGTTAATTAGATGCCTCAGTATTTCAAAGACATAGGATAGTCCTCCTGAACAGAAGGAAAGATAAACAGGATCAATTTGCAGATATTTACTGCTGGAGGCCTGGGGGGAATGCAGAGTTGTTTGTTGACACACTTTTGGTAGTCTAGATCAGGAATCAGACTGTGGCTCAGAGACCAGATGTGGCCTGCTGCCTGCTGTGGCCGATTATTCTGCCTGGGAGCTAAGGATTATTTTTACATTTTTAAATGGTTGAAAAAAATTGTGCTGTGTGAATATTATATGAAATTCAAATTTTAGGGCCCATAAATAAAGTTTTATGAGAATGCAGCCACACTTGTTCACTTAGGGGTGTTGTCTAATATGGCTGCTTTCACACTAAATTAGCAAGGTTTTTCTGTTTGTTTTTAAGTGGGCTCCACACCCACTGTGGGGCTTGAACTCACAACCCTGAGATTCAGAGTCATATGCTCTATCTACTGAGCCAGCCAGACACCCCTGAAATCGTGAGACTGAGTACTTGGAACGGAGACTGGCCAGCAAAAGCCTAAAATATTTACTCCTTGGATCTTGACAAAAATGTTTGCTGATCTAGATCCACACTTAAGACAATTTTGATAAAAATCTAAAGCTTAAGTAATTTGGGATAACTTTAAAGAAAGCGGCGAGGCTATCCATGATTAATTAACAATGAAGCGTGAGGCCAGGTGCATTAGTGTAGGCCTGTATGGTCAGGTAAAGCTTTGGGATAAGACTGGTTTAGGCTGGCTATTTGTCTCCCTTGGAAAACACAAATGTCATTGGTCTGTCAGTGTACCTGATTTTCAATTAACTAAAAGATCCAAGGAGTTATGAAAAAAGGAAATTAAGGAAGAATGAAGAGAGTTTG